GGCAAGCAGTTCAGAAAATGGGGAGCCCAATCAATTGAAGATACAGCCAATCTTCAGGGTCAGCAATATTTCTGTAAAAGAAAGCAAGAGCATTTATAATTATTCAATTAATTAAGCGTACGCTTTTATCTTTTGCTAACTTCAAATAATCAGAACAAAAATGAGAGCTTTCAGGCTGACATAAGACATAGTGAGAAACTATCTCCAAACTCCATCAATCGATGATGGAATACATAACTGAATGGAAACCGAGAAGCATAAAATTAATACTAAAATCAACAAATGCTTAATGAAAAAAAGATGTGTCCTTTTTGCAAAAATCCTGGTATTATTCAAAATCCATCAATCGAAGTGTATCATCTGATTGGCCCTAGAATTTGTCTTTTCTTGTTTGCCTTATGGAACAGCATCCCATCCCCTAAAATCGACTGGCTGCAATCCTGCCACCCTGCCTGGAAGACCTGGTTCTCCCCTTAGACGTTGAGACACATTGACATGAACTGGTGTAGTGTGAATATACGGGTGTCATGTTTGATCACAATGTTATGTAATTTTTCTTATAAATGATGTTTTCGTATTGTGATTTATTTTAACCTTGTTAGCTACTAAAGCCGCTCTATGAGTAGGCGGCTATACACTTTAAATGAATAATAAATACATAATAATAAAAATAAATAAATACATTATCTAAACACCGAATAGGGGGCAAACTGAATTTCCAAGAAACTGCATTTCATAGCTTTGGGGGTCATGCAGGAGAGCTCCCTAAGATGCAACAGAAATAGGCTTCTGATAGCAGCAGCATCATTAGGAGAGTTTCCCAGCAGATCTTAAGAATCCAAAAGGTTTTTAATAGGAGGTTCAGCCCTTCAGATAGTCCTAAAACATTTAGGACTTCAACGTATACATGTGTCAAACTTTTGAGCATGTATCAGATTTACTTTTATATATATCAAAGTACTTAAAGAACAGTCCAAGATTGTTTTCATCCAGGAACTTTGTTATTGTTCAGTCGCTAAGTTGAGTCCAGCTCTTCATAATCCAATCGACCATAGCATGCCAGGCCCCCCTGTCTGCCACTGTCTCCAGGAGTTTGCCCTAATTTATGTTCATTCAGTCAATGAACCTATCTAACCATTTCATTGTCTGCTATCCCTTCTCCTTTTGCCTTCAATCTTTCCCAACATCAGGATCTTTTCCATGAGCCTTCTCTTCTCATTTGGTGGCCAAAGTATTTGAACTTCAGCTTCAATATCTATCCTTCCAAAGAACAGTCAGGGTTGATTTCCTTTAGGATTGACTGATTTGATCTCCTTGCAGTCAAAGGGACTCTCAAGAGTCTTCTCTAACACCAAGCATCAAAAAGTATATTCTTCTGGCACTCTGTCTACATGAGCTTAAATCTATTCACTATCTCAACTGTACATTCATAAAGGATGTGATTTAGGTCATATCTGAATGGTGTAGTGGTTTTCCCTACTTTCTTCAATTTAAGCCTGGATTTTGCAAGAAGAAGTTCATGATCTGAGCCAGTTGGCCCCAGGTCTTGTTTTTACAGACTGTATAGAGCTTCTCCATCTTTGGCTGCAAAGTAAATAATCTGTTTTCGGTATTGACCATCTGGTGATGTCCATATGTAGAGTCATATCTTGAGTTGTTGGAAAAGAGTTTTTGCTATGACCAGCATGTTCTCTTGACAAAACTCTTTGCCCCACTTCATCCAAGAAATAGTTGAACTTAATTTAAAACAGATATGGACAACTTCACATTTCAGGGCTGTATCAGTTCACAAGAACCTTTTAGTTCATTCCAAATATGACTATTGAAAATGGACAGCGGTTTCCAGCCATTTGTAGTGGCAATTACATAAAAGACCTAGAACAGGCATAATGAGACTTAACTCCAGGGACAATCATAAAGAAAATCATGCCATTAACCATTTAAATAGCTGCCAACTATGGCCCTTGGACCTTCAACAAACTTAAGTGAAGTCCAAGGTCAACCAAAAGTTATCCACTTTAAGTTAGTGTCACAGTTGGAATATTTATTACTTCATACCCGTGATGCATCTCCCTCCTGCTTTATCATGTCCATTCCAGGTAGCTGGTTTGGAAAAAGACTGCCTCCTCTCATAGCAGGATCATTGACCTGAGAAAGAACAATGTTTAACTCAGTCACAGAAACAGAAGACTTAACAAATCACAACCAACTTCACTAATACTCCTTCCTTTTTATCTGTTATGTATATGTAGGAGTGTCGGTCTATACATATGTTGTACATAGCATGTTTAGGTGTGTGTCATGTATGTGTTTCACTTTTGAGAGCGGGCAACTAAATTTCATTTTTTATGTGTGCCGTGGTGCCCACAGTAAAAACATGACAATAACGTTTATCTTATCTTATCTTATCTTATCTTATCTTATCTTATCTTATCTTATCACTAATAGTTGAGCAATTCATTTTAGTATCATGCCTATCTTGGAACCTTTTTCTATTTTCTACAACACATTATTATTATCTGACTGCATAATTTGCTGACTTACCCTATTGTCAGTTTGTTATTTTGAAAGGGGATACAGCAAACTGAGCTAAATTGAAAAGATGAAAAATGAGTGTACACTAAACTAGTGCTTTATCTTGAATCTCCAAAGACCTATGCAAGGGTCCTTTTTGTAGATTTCAGTTCGGCATTCAATACCATCATTCCAGATATTCTTCTCACTAAACTAAATCAGCTAGCCGTGCCTGATCACACCTGTAAGTGGATCATAAGCTTTCTAACAGACAGGAAGCAGCAAGTGAAGCTAGACAAAAATCACATCAGATACCTGTACAATTAGCACAGCCCCCCCCCCTCCCAGGCTGTGTGCTCTCTTCACTTCTCTCTCTATACCAACAACTGTATCTCAAAAGATCCCTCTGTTAAAGTACTGAAGTTTGCAGATGATACAACAGTGACTGGCCTCATTCAAGACAACAACAAATCGGCATACAGACAGGAGGTTGAACAACTAGCTTTGTGGTGTGGCCGGAACAATCTTGAACTGAACACACTCAAAACTGCAGAAATGACAGTAAACTTTAAGAGAAACCCTACTATTCTACAACCTCTTATAATACTAGACAACACCGTATCAACAGTAGAAACCTTCAAGTTTCTGGATTCTATAATATCCCAAGATTTAAAATGGACACCTAACATCAAAAATGTAATCAAAAAAGCACAACAAAGAATGTTCTTCCTGCGCCAACTCAAAAAGCTCACACTGCCCAAGGAGCTGCTGATACAGTTCTACAAAGGAATGATTGAGTCTGTCATTTGCACCTCTATAACTGTCTGGTTTAGAACCGCAACCAAACAAGACAGACGCAGACTTCAACAGATAGTTATATCTGCAGAAAAAACAATTGCTACCAGCCTGCCTTCCGTTGAGGACCTGTATACTGCACAAGCAAGAAAGAGGGCTGTGAAAATATCTACAGACCTTTCACATCCTGGTCATAAACTATTTCAGCTTCTTCCCTCAAGACGACGCTATAGGGCATTGCACACCAGAACGACTAGACACAAGGACATGTTTTTTCCCCATGCCGTCACTCTGCTTAACAACTAATCCCTACAACACTGTCAAAATACTAGTAAAGCTGTATTACTATGATACGCTTCATCTTTCCTATTACCTATCCTTATCTTCTTATGACTATAACTTTGCTGCTTGTATCTTACAATTTATATTGTTTTTTTTGTACCCTAGTATGATTTATGTTGTTTGCTTAGCTAGTACTCTATGACTATCACTAAATGTTGCACCTTATGATTTATAATGAAGTGTTGTAGTTCACAATTTATGATGAATGTATTTTCATGTTGTATATGATCATGATTATCACTATTACTTGTATGTACACTGAGAGCTTATGCACACTTGGTCAATAAATTATTCTATTCTATTCTATTCTATTCTATTCTATTCTATTCTATTATTGTAATTGACTCAAAAACATTTCATAGAGATATAACTTTGTTAGAGGCTTGAAAAAAATATTTTGACACTTAGACGCTATTTCACAGGACCCCAGAGACCTGGTTTTGCCAACAAGCCTGGAAAACCCATAGTGGGATGAAGCCTATCAAGTGGCTCAAGGGATGGGATATTATTGTTTGTTTATCCCTTTTTATATTGGTTTTTTTATTGTTTGTAAGCTGCCCAGAGTCACTGAGAGTGAGTGGGTGGCCATATAAATTCTCTAAATAAATAAATAAATAAATATGCTTACAGCACACTAAAAGCATCAATAATAAAACTGAAAATCATTAATTTAACTACAATTTATAATCACAGAAGGACATTAAAGTTACATAGTTTAAGATGATAGATTTAGTCAAAAAATAGAGCCAGAAGTAGATTATGTAATACTTTTAACTACAGAGGGATGGAAAGAGGTTGATTCAAATCCTCATTTTGCTACTAAACTGTATTTTCTTAGTCTTAACTTGAATTTCAACAAATCAGTCTAACCAAGCCAACTGGCCCAGGTCACATAAGTGTCCTCCAATTTTTGTGAGTATAATGTCCTAAAATCTCACCCAGTATGGGTAATGTATGAAGCTTGCATCTCAGTGGAGAAAGGGGCTACATTTCACTTTCTGTTCCCTGCTTGCCACCCACTTTTTTTTCTTTCTGACATCATCTTTTCTAACTCCCAAGTCAGGAAAAGAACAAGTAGCTCTTTCTAGAAACTATTATTTGGGCTTGGATTGTAGTTCCCCATCTGTGACTTCGATGGAGCGATAAATATCTTGAAAATCCACTATATTGTACATCTATAACAAGAATGAGCCATTCCTGAAATCATATTTTTAATGTAACCGGTATGATACATCATTAGCAAAATATTTTTATATTAAAAGTAAAACCATTTTTTAAGTATGCCAGGCTGAGATTCTCACCTGCTCGGGACCCATGGAGGGCAACCCTGATGTAGGCACAGAGGCTGCAGAGGTCATGCTGATCTGCCCTGTCATCTGGTTCATGTTGCTCAACCCGCCACTGTTGGCCACCATGGACACATTGATATTCATGTTGTTATTGTATATGCTGGTATTTGCTTGCTGCCCAAAGTGTGGTGGAGATTGTTGTGAAAACATGCTATAGTATAGGATAAAGCACAATGGCCATGTCAGAATCAGAAAGACACACTTACAGGACTCAAATATTCCTGAACTCTTCAAAGAACCACTGTGTGCTTGGATGCACATAAGGATCTCTTCCAATAACAACAACTGATCCATCCTTTCGTTTAACCAGAATCTCTTTACCTATTTCTTGGTCAAATGAAACTCTGATCACAACAGAGTGTACAAAGAAGTTATGTGACAGTAATCCAAACCAGCAGGTTATAAAATGCAGCCAAAATACATTCTGAATCCTGAAGCGTACCTATTTCCACCAATATTTCCTTGTCCCCATCCATTTATCTCTGTAGAGGATTGATAGGCAGGATTGGCCTGAGATTGCTGTATCAAAGGATTCTGAGTATGAGCCATTCTTGGGGACATCAGGGGACTCTGTGGAGTTGTAGCTCCGGTGAAGCCTGGATCAGGCTGCTGATTTATTCCTAGAAAAGATAATAGGAACTTCAATCATGTTTACAGGACAATTAAGAATACATGCTGTAGTACAAAAGGTCCATTATGGATTCATTTACTTGAAGAGGATTCACTGGACAATAACAAAGCTTTCAACTGTTCCTAACTGTTGCTTTCCTATCACTTATACTGCAGAGTTTGCTTACTGTTTTAATTTGCCTTCATTGTAATCAATAGCACAGTGACATCTGCTGGAGATGTTTATTTGACTGTACTCAAGAAGAATTTTCCCAAAAGAAACCCCTCTTCCAGGGGCTGATGCCTATATATTATATAAAAAAATACACTGAGAAATCAATTAATACCCAAACAATCTTATTAAATAAGTGAAAATGACGTTATGATAAAAACAAGGTGTTGATATCCAATGCTTAATACTGTAAACAACATATAAAAACCATTCAAACTCACGGATACTTTTAGAGTTGCTATTTCACAGAGATCATTTGCTGAAGAAATGATAATCTACCTTTTTATTTTGATTTTAATTTAAGAATTTCCGAATTTAAAAAAATCTGTTATTTTTCCTAAGATGTGACATAGGGGATTATAAAATTATGTAGATTTGGGGAAATATAAAAGTTACGTAGTTATTATTTTCCAGATTCTCAGTGAGCTAGCTTAATCTAAGAGTCTTTCTTGTAATTTTAAGACAAAAATGATGACCCCAAGAAGAAACTGAAAATTTGTAGGCAGTAAAATCTGATGAAAAATTAAAAAAATGCCCAATACCATAATTTGGAGGAAATGGAAACTGCTGGGTGTTTGTCTGGGGAATCCGTGGGTTGCTCATGGTTGCTGGTATTCCCCCAGAGGCCACCATACTTGGCGTCATATTCATACTCTGGCCACGCATCATCAGGGTTCGTTGTTGAACTTGGTGCATCTGTCTATGTCTCAGATGTTGGCTTAGTATCTCTCTCTGCCTCTGGGCTAGCATTTGAGAATTAATATTTCCCTACCGAGAAAACAAAATGTTTATCAGTGTTAAGTAGCTGGAAGTCACGTTCAGAGGTTGATTTTCCACGTCATATGAGAGGTTTGAAGACATACATGATATAATAAGTTGCTGATATGCAATTGAACAAAGTAAGTAAAGCTGATTCATATTAAGACTAGCTCTCAAACTGTTGTTTGAAAATAAATTCTAAAATATCAAAGAAAATCAGCTGTACCTTGTATTCATAAATGTCTCGATTAAAAAGGCAACTGTGTGTGTGTGTGTG